GCTTCATTTCTCCACCTGAGCTCATTATGGTATGGCAACTGCCCACCCTGAAGGGGGATGGGTATGTGCATGCTATGCCAAGCCATAGATTCCGGTCTGTGCTTCATTTTTTCTGCATCCACTGCCTTACCTTGTGTTTGAAAACAGAGGCAATCTGTCTTTACATTCAAGTCCTCTCTTAGCTGGTCTCCACCCTAATCTCTCACGCATTGGGCACATCTACACAAAATGCTTAACTGTGCAGCAACATAGTTTATTGTGAAGTAAACATACATCTACACATGCACATGCTTACTACACAGTAAACCTTGTGAATTGTGAGTAAATTTGCTGCCTGCAAATGCAAGTAGCAAATATAGTTTTGATTAGTAACGGCACAGTAGTGCTTGTGTAGACAACTGGCTGAAAGCAAATCCGTTCCCAGGCAGCTGTCCACCAAGGGGGTGGGAGATTTGTCCTTGTCCCCGGGTACTGCCTGCTGCCACCGTGGGATCTGCCACTGGAGCCCAGGCAGAGATTCTGTCCCCCTGCCCCAGTGGCAGGGAGCTCCAAGTCCCCTGCTGAGGTTATGAGTGGGGGCTGGGATATCTTTCTCTCCCAACCCCCACCTCAGCCATCCAGACAGAGGAGCAGGGAGATCTTTATCTCCCACCACCAACTCTGTGGTGGCAGAGCTGGGGCTGAGAGATAAGGGTCTCTCAGCCACAGCCTTGTGGTCATGGAGCTGGCGCAGGAAGATACGGGCTGTGCCAGCACTAGCCCCATGACTGTGGAGCTCAGGCTAGGAGATAAAGCGCTCTCAGTGCTGGACCAGCTGGCACTGGAAGCTCTCTGCTCAGCTTGTTCCCTGCTCAGCTCCATGAGCACGGAGAAGGGTGAGGAACAAGCTCCCCAGCCTATTCCCGCCTCAGTGCTGTGCTTGTGGACCTGAGTGGGGAAAAAGCTCCACAGCTTGTTCCCCACCCAGCTCCACATTTGCGGAGCTGAGCAGGGAACAGGCTCCCCAGCCTCCGCCCGCATGCAGGGTAGGGGCAGGTCCCAGTCCCATGCACCGATTGAGGGATCAAGGCATGGAGCTTAAAAAGAGCTGCAGGGACAAGGTAGGTCCCAGACCCGTGCCCTGATCTGCTAGTGGTGCAATTAGCAATGAACTAGGTGCCCCAAAATATTGGGGCAGGGGGCTGGAACCTGTCCTGCCCCTGCAGCTCTTTCCATGTCCCTTGCCCCTGACAGGGGACCTAAGGCAAGCAGCTCCCTAGTGTTGGGGCAGAGGACATTGTCCCTGGCTTGGCAGCCCCCAGCAGCAGGGTGCAATGTCCAAGCCCCTGCCAGGAGACAGCTGTCTTCTGCCCGATGCTCCCTGCCAGCCCCTAGGCTAGCACCCAGGGGGAGCCTAGAGCTCCCCCTGGTGGCAGCACAGGCCCATTGCATGGGAGTTTGCAGCAGTTAGCAGCAAGTCTGCTACCACTTCCCTGCATGTGTAGACGCCTGCCCAGGAGAGTTTAATTGTGAGTAAACTGATTCTGGATCAAATGCATTTGTAGATGTGCCTACTGGGCACATCTACACAATATGCTTAACTTTGCATTAGCATCGTTTACTGTGAAGTATGTGTATCTACATGTGCAGATGCTTATTTCCCAGTAAACTTCCCTAATACCAAGTAAATTGCCTCATACTACACAAACGCCTCCCATACTACACAAACACTCATAGTATGGGAAACAAGCAGGAGGAACTTACCGTCCTGTTAGCTGACACCAACCCAGGCACAGTGGGGCTCACTGAAATGTGGTGGGACCCAGCACATGACTGGGCAGTGAATATCAAAGGCTATAGGCTGTATGGGAGGGACAGGACAGGGAGGAAAGGCGGGGGTGTGGCGCTATACATTAAGGAGAAATACACATCCTCACCAGGTAGCACAGAGTCAGAGGAGGGGCGCACGGAAGTGCTCTGGGTCAGAATACAAGGCAGTCGAGGGGAAAGAGATTTAATGGTGGGGGGGTCTACTACAGACCACCCAACCACAGGGAAGAGCTAGACCAGGAATTCTTAGGTCAGCTCACGGAGGTAGTTAGGTCAAAGGATGTGGTCATCATGGGTGACCTGAACTTTCCAGACATCTGCTGGGAAAAGCAGTCAGCCAGGGCTGATCGCTCACATTGGTTCCTAGCTCCAATGCAGGACCTCCATCTAACCCAGGAGGTGCACAGCCCCACCAAGGGAGATGCCTTGTTGGACCTGGTGCTGGCCACAGGTGACAATCTGGTGAGGGGTCTACGGGTGCTCGACCACCTGGGCGACAGCAATCATTGCCTGCTGGAATTCACCATCCAGCGCAAGGTGGCAAAGGCCTGCAGCAAGGCAGCAGCCCTAGATTTCAGGAGGGCAGACTTCAATGAGCTAAGGAGAATAGTCAGGGAAGCACTAAGGTCCCAGAGGGGAGGGGAGCCAGGTG